CCTGAAATGGGACATTCTTTGGGTTTCTGTTCTGTCTCATGAGGCTCAAGGAAACAAAGTTCAGTGGCACTCTCAACAGATGGAGCAAAATATGTATCATCAACCTCCTATTCTGCTCAAATGCTGTGGACCAAGCAACAAATTGGAAGAACTTGAGTCCAACTCGACTTGTGGAACTGACCTTAATGAATGAAATTATATATACGACTATTATAGAAACAATCAATATAACTATGAATCATAACGATGTAATTAACATAGGTTATATGACTACAACCTTAGTCAATGGACTTATATGGTTGCTATAAGCCGATACGCATGACCTTAATGAATGAAATTATATAAATGACTATTATATAAACGGTCAATATAACTATGAATCACAACGATATAATTAGCATAGGCCATATTAGTATAACTTTAGTCAATGGTCAATTTAAATATTTCATAATTAAATTGCTAATTAGGTCCCAAATCTAGCAATCTATTCAACCTTGGACGTCCACGAGAAGCTACGTATCTAGGATCTCTTATATTTCTTCCTTCACCCTCACCCCCACCCCCACCGCCACCCCTACCATCACCCACACCATCATGTGTATCTTCCAATTCCCAATTTGGAACTATCATATCATCATCCCAATTTAAAAGGTCATGCTCCAATCTGTTCAAATCATACTTAATATATTGCCTCATCACTTCAATGTCCAGTGCAATATCACAAACCCATTCAAAATGCTTTAATAGTTCCCTGAACATCATATATTCAGAAGTCATACGTGGGTAACCTTCTATAAAGAAACATTTCAAGTGTGGACGAACAACATCTCTTCTCCACCTTATCAATATATACCTCTCATTAACGTTTTCAATCTTCTTATGAGATAACACCTTAAGTATATGACAACATAGAATACCTCTTGTTTCAAAGCATTTATAACTGCATCTTAGATATTCGCCAATATATGTATATTCAACCGTGAATTCAAATGGATCTCTAGTGTTAAAACTCCTGAGCGAATAATCTGTTATAATGTATTTCTCCACTCCAGGGTTTGCTTGATGATCTTCAGGGGTGATGATTTCACAATGGTACAATTTCCTTAACTATACTTGAAAAAATTCAACCACTTCACGAGTATAACATGCTTGAAGTTTTTCCTCCCATGCGAATTTAGACAAACATTTTGGTTCAAAACACCTTGATCTATATCTAGCTTCCAATTCGTTCTCGAACTTAGCTCTTATGGCTAACTCATATTGCCGAACAAATAGCTTCAAAGTATTTTGGCGGGTGATAAATCCATCAAAGAAAGCATGCATTCATTCACTTATTTGTGTGGACAACATCCCAGCCCAAAAGTGGTCATTAAAGTATACATGAACCCATTTTCCTTCTCAAAATAAAGCTTATAAAACCAATCCATTCCATATAAGTTATATTTTGCAATATAATCAGTCCATCTTCTCTCAAACTCAGCTAATGTTAATGCAATCAAGGACTAAAGCCTTAAACTCTGCCTTTGCAATCTTACCATCAAGAACTCCGCTTAACTTCATAGGCAACTTTGCGAATATGTGATATATACAATATCTATGTACCGTATTTGGCATCAATGCATTTATGGTAGCCTTAATAGTAACATATTGGTCAATCATGATAGCTGATGGGTGGATATTGTTTAGAGCCCCAAGCCATGTAGAGAGCACCATTTTGTAACTTGTTATATCCTCACTAGACATAAGAGCGCATCCCAAAAGTATGGACTGCCTATGCTGATTGACACCAACAAATGAAGCAAATGGCATATTACATCGATTCACAAGGTATGTGGTATCAAGGCATATTACATCAAGGAACTCCTCATATGCAACCTTAAAGTGTGAATGAACCCAGACAATATTACGAAGTCGACCAAAACATCCACATCTACAGAGTTATAAAATTCCCTATCTTTTTGCTACTTGTCACTGAAGAGCTTGAGTAATGATTGTGCGTCCCCTTCTTCTGAAGCTTTCTACTCTTCAAAATATAATTTCTACAGTCCTTTGGTGTACAACCCAGATTTTCGGGGCCACTAGCAAGTACTTCAACGACTCTTATATTTTTTGAGGGTCTTAAGCCAGCAATATCTTCGGCTACAAGAGCTCTCTTAAGAGACTTACTAAGCGATCTGTGTCCAGCCATCAATCGTGATAGTGCTGGTTCCAATTGATGACTATGTTTTTTAACCACATTTGAAACACGCCATGAACCATTCTCCTCCAAAATTCTATTTATTCTAGCATGGCAATTCCTCCTCTTGGTAACATGCTTATTCCTTGGTTTCCTAGATCTATTACAACCATATTGCATATACCTAACAATATCACCATCTTTTTTGTTTGATGTTCTTTTGACAATGCAAAACCCTGATAATCTTGCAAATTCTTTGTAAAAATCAAACATAACATCCTTATTACTGAACCGAATCCCAATAATTGGACAAATTACTAGATCTTCTTCATTGAACTCATTAGATATTTCCCTGTCCTCTCCACCTTCTCCCTCCTCCTCTAAATAATGGCCATCATCATCATCATCATCAACATCGTCAACATGATCTTCTCTATCATTGAAGTTGCCGTTTGAATCAATGTTGACCCACTCATCTTCATTCATCAAACTATCGTCCGAATTCAACCCCAATGATATGTGTAATGCATTCCTTAGTTGCTCCGACCTAGTTTCTAGGCTGTTATTCGGGCTTAATGGCTCCAAACTAGTTTCTTGGTTAGCATTCATGTTTAGGTTCAGAGAAGGGCGGTGAACTATGTGTTTAATGAAAGCTCTCTTATCATATGTGTATGGTATACCAATGTATACCGTATAAATTTTCAAAAAACAATATATGTATACATACATAGGCTTTTGATCTCCCCATCCGTACAAAATTTTATTTTAAAAAAAAAATGTAATAGTATAGGTATACATACAAAGGCTTTTGATCTTCCCATGAGAGATTGATGGTTTTATGGGATCAATATTTTTTAATAATCAATAGTTATTAACTAATTTGGGAGAGAAATATTTTGGAGGAAAATAATGGCTATTAAGCCAAATATGAAATTAAGGGCTTTAATGGTATTTCAACAATGTGACCATCGTTGGGCCATTATGAGTGTGGCCAAATAGCAGCACTCAATATAAAAATCCTCATACTCAATATCTTCCTTCTATTTGAAATGACTTATCATCTTTGAATGAACTATCTTGAAGTGGGATACGTAGTCCAATATGTCACCATATTAAATGATCCTTATTTTAATGTCTCACTAAACACAATAAGGAGCTCTCAGTTAACCAAATGAAGAATAATCGATCAATTCAGTGAGCAAATAATGATATGTTCCAAAAGTCAATGACTGAATAAGAAATTAACCTATAATAAAAGAAAACCCAACAATGGAAAAATTTCGGGGATACGACCCAAAATACCAGCCCAAGCAACTAGTGGGTTTGGATTGGATTGAAGCCCAAAAGAGCAAAGTTTGTCCAAATCATTGTCAATCCTAACCGTCCAAGCATATTTCTTAGTGGCCGTCAGATCTAGGGCAAATTCCCGGCTAGGGTTTTGCCTTTTAACTTGTTTTCTCAAAACCTTCTTCACTCCCTCTTCTGTTCGAGCCTGAGCCTCAAACCTAGAGAGAGAGAGAGAGGTTCCGAAGATGGTGCAGCGACTCACATACCGGAAGCGCCACAGCTATGCCACCAAATCCAACCAGCACCGTGTCGTCAAAACCCCAGGTACAACAAAAACTATCTTTAATATTAGTGTCTTTAATTTGATTCTTGTTGATTCATTCAATTTTAAGTATGAATTAGTATTTCAATGAATTGGACCGATCAGGCAAAAAGCAATTTACCGATTTGAGCGGAATGGATATAGACTTTATAAAAAGTCGATTATAACTAATTTGGGATTGAGACTTAGTTGATTGATTGATTTATTTATTGTACAGGTGGGAAGTNTATTCCAGAGCTGTGCTTTGCATATATCATGTTTGTTTAAGTTGTTGATGCCTCTAGGAATAGAATTGCATTCTGCTCATATTGTTCACCATGTATTTCCTGTTCTGCTGCTCTACCATTATGTGCTCCACAGCAATAAATTCGGTCATGTTTCTGTGCTTGGAGCTTCATTTACAATTTTGTTAGAAATTAGTGTTGGTTCTGATGTGTAGTGTACATGATCCACTTTGCATTGTCTGATATCCTAGATGTAGATCTTAAACATTTCTAAAATACCTGATTATGGCTAGTTTTTTTTTTTTTGAGGAAAATTATGGTTAGTCGTATTCAATATGGTCTTTTTTCTATTTACTGTTTCTTACTCAGAGTGAGGCCAAAGCATCTCTCTTGGTATTGTATAAGCATATGCTGATTCATTTTTTCATTTTTACCATTATTAAAATAGTGGAGGTGAAGTTTTTTAAATAAGTAAATAATTTAATTATTATTGGCAGTAAATCCTGTATACAAGGTGAACTCTAGATACTGATTCTGCTGTCAGATTATCATAGTTATGTTGTATATTGAGATAGCTATCTTTAAACTGTGCTATTGGAGTGAGTAGAATCAGCTTGTATTATTTGAATTCTCCCATCTCTGACTAAAATGCTCTTCATTAAGCCGTTGACAAGATTGCTTCTTCAGTCTCTAGAATTAGGAAAGAAGAATCAGGCTTTGATATTTTAAATATCTCTCTTATTTGAATTTTTATTATATTCTCTTTTACAGATCCTTTTTAGTAGAAACTGAAGCATCATAAGAATTGCTAATGCCAACTTTAGCTTTTCTGGTGCTTCGATCAATGACTAATTGAAATGATGTTAGGTATTACCTAGATGCTTTTTAGCCCCACTTATGGTTATAATACTCTTTGCCCTTGTATTTGGTATTTAAACTCTTATTGTCATGTAGTTCATTGGTCTCGGTGTTTTTTTAGCTTAGTTAATTAATTCAAGCATTTGGTGCAATATATTCATCAAACCTTGCTGTCTTGCAGATTCCACACTTGAGACCAACTGAGTATAAGAGATCCAGATTATCTAGGAACAGGAGGACTGTGAACCGTGCCTATGGTGGAGTATTGTCTGGAAGTGCAGTAAGGGAGAGGTTTGTTGTCTTAGTGTTTGTTGGCTTGTCCGTTTCCATTATTTGTCTAATTCATGCTCCTTTGTCTTATAACTGTGTAATGTTGGTTTGCAGGATTATTCGAGCTTTCTTGGTGGAAGAGCAGAAAATTGTGAAGAAGGTTTTGAAGATCCAAAAAGCCAAAGAAAAGCTGGCGGCCAAGAGCTAAGCTGAGAGTTTAGAGGGACTTTATTTTAAATTTTGGTGAAATTTTGACATTCAAGTGTTTACTAGTTGTGCACTACAAATTGACCTGATTGCTGCAGCTTTTGAGGAGCATTTTGCTTTAGTTGATTATATCCGACTTCATTCCCCATTCTATATAAATTGAGTTGTCAATCTTGTCTTAATTTACCTAATATATCACACAATGGTTTCATCTGGCCAGTTGAATCATTATTATGAGCAACTCAGTTGATGGTGAAAGAAATGTGCCAAAAGCAAGTAGATGTGTAAGCATTGTCTGAATGTTTGGAGGTCATTTTGCTTGGATCTCGGTTAATGGGGGTCTATCTCTTGTTTGATTTTTTATTATTCATGAAGCTGCAACTAGGATCACTATGTATACATTGCTTAGTGATCCTAGTTGCAAGTGAATCCAAAACCGGGTTTGTTGATATTGTGAGGATGAACATTGCATGCTGGTGTAATACTCTGATGAAGTTAAAGGAAATAAGGTATAATGCTCTGATTCAGAAGGGTAATTTTTAGAGGCCATGGATTAAATACAAAGGTGGCACCATATGGTGATTTTGCCCTGATACACATTAATAATGGTTTATCCAAATATCTAGGGCCTGGACTTCTCTTCTAAAGTATACCATCTAGAGCAATGAAATTAGAGACAAAGGTTTCTTCGGCAACTTAATGAATTGGTTTGCTGTATCTGAAAACTATATTGTGCTTAGTTACTTGGCACTTCGACTATGCTTTGCCTATAAATTAAAACTTTCGCTACAGCTTGCTCTAGTAAGGTTGTCACCCAGGTGTACATGAGTGGACTCTTTTCTTTGTCCAGAATCTTCAGGCCAGGGACCTTTTCTTGAGCCTTGAAATCATAGTGTTGCAACCATCATGATATCCAGAACACCTGGATCTTCCCCGTGGATTTCGCGATTTCCTTCAGTGAAGAAAATTCTCTTTCTTTCTAACAGCACTTCTATTCTCTCCCACAGTTCCTCACACGCTTCCTCCTGGGTAACCATGATCTTGGATATGCTGTCAAACAATTGAAAATATGGAAAGCACAAATTAACAAAATCTTGAAATTCAAATGTAAAAACACACGATTATATAATCGTACCAGTTGGATGTAACGAGTCCAGAAACGTAACTCTGGCTCTTTCATATGGATCTTCTTGCAAGAGTTTAGGTATGAGATTCCAAGTTTTATCAATATATTCAATGATGACTGGTGATTCCACAACAGCTCTACCGTGGTGAATCAACACGGGAACCTTTTTGTGGATTAGGTCGTGTTGGAGAAGCAATGGACTCTTGTTGTTCAAGTGTCCTTCTCGGACAAGCTCGAAAGGGACTATCATTTCGAGCAAGTTCAACTTGAGAGCAAGTTTTTGATCTTGAGAGCAAGTTCAGCTCTCTTTGAATAGGGTCTATCATTTCCTAGAAGAATTAGCTTTGTTCTCCTCTTGCATTTTCTCTTAATCTGAGTTGTGAAGGTTGTTGCTCGGATGCTGCTGAGTTCTGGCAGTGACAGGGGAACCCCTATATAGGTACTTGTACTTTCAACCAAGTCCGCGATTAACCTTTTCTAATAGCGAAGGCCTAATGAGCCACTCTAGTCATTAGTCAAACGTTTTATACAATACAATGTCTATTGACGGGGAAAACTATCAAATAATATGGAAAAAGGCCAATGACGTGTTTCAACTTGCAGGATTTTGGAGCAACTTTGTGTTTTCAAGCAATACTTACTCCACTATTATAAGTATTTATAACTTATGTGGACTGTCAGCGCACTGTTATTGATGGTAGACTATAATCCCATATTTTAATCGCTTATTGCACTCTAATTCACTGCACTTTACTTGTGTTTGAGCTTCAATTAGTAGTGTTTTGCACTAATTGTGTGTTTTATGCTTTGTAAGAGATGATGCCGAGTTAAGATGTTCTGGAGCTAAATCGAATAATTGGAGCTTTGAAGTCTGAGTAAAAGCCAATGAATTAAACCGGGATCACGCCCGGGGCTCGTGGACCGACGTTGCATACGAAAGTTGGAAGAAAGAGCAAGGGCTAGGGCAAAAAAGTACTAGTGCGTCGCAAAGGCATGACATTAAGCATCGCATTAGTACAAAATTTCGTCAGAAATTTGAGAAGTTTCGAGACTTAGAGTTTTTGGGTTTGATAGAAAAATACACTAATGCTAGGCATGGTGTGTGGCATAGTGCGTAGCATCAATACAAAATTTTGTCAGACAAGCTAAGTTCAGAGAGTTTACAACCGAGCAAATTGCACTAATGCTACGCACCCTGCGTAGCATAGTGCGACACATGAAGTGTAAAAAGTTTGTAGGTTTTCCCACTTCGGCTCAAAAAGCGTAGTCTCGTCCGGATTCGTTCCTACATGGTATAAATACACTAGAAACATGTTTTTGAGAGGACTTTTGACATACTTTCGACCTAAGGAAGCTAAGGAGGAGTTGAAAGAACAAAAGCACAAGGATTTCATCATTCCTTCCTTACTCAAAACCCGAGTTTGGATTGAATCTATGTTTTCCTATACTTTAATTATATTTGTGATGAATTTCTCCATGTCTATGGAGTAGTTCCCTTTAGAGTTTGATGGATTTGGTGTATTGATGATTGTTTGTGGATTATAACTCTAGTTTTATGTATTGAATCGTCTTGGACGATTTAATTGTTGCATCTATATTCACTATGTTAGTTTATATGAATCCAACAAACTATTGAGTACCTGGTCCTCTATGAGTTTTTACTGAGAATACTAATGAAAACACTAAGTGAATGAGACACGGGATTTTGGTGCCTTAGGCGTTCTGAAGCAGAACTACTTTCACTCCTCAGCTTTTTCAAAGAACCAGGTTCCTTAACGGTTTCAGACTTATGTTTGCCAGACTTAATACCACTTGATTTTGCTGTTCCCTTAGACTTGACTAACACATCCTCATCAGAAACGGAGAGCTCACTCTCAACATCCTTCAACTTGGAACTGGGGGTTGTAACATTCTCTATGGAAACAAATGCCTTCTTCTTTTGGGACCTTCTCACCAGGGAACTAGGTTCCTCAATTGTTTCCTCTTCAACCTCCACCACTGGAACAACCTTATCACACACCATCACATTGTCTTTCATCAATCTCCTCATTTGCTTCTTACTACTTTTTCTGCTCTTTTGAAGGGCAGAGTCATAGGCTACCTTTGCTTGCAACCTGGTAGTAGGTCGCTTAGTAGAAAACTCAGGAGTGGACAGCACCTTTCGCTTGACTATGAAAGCATCAAGAGCAAGGTTGTCTAGATCCTCCTCATCACTAGACCTCATCTCACGGACTTGAATGTCCAAGGGCGCAATAGCAAATATAGGAGCAGAATTGGCCTGGGAGTGAGAACCCTGACTTGTTTCCTCCGATAGGGGTCAGGTTCCTCACGTGAGGGCCCAGTAGTTTCTGCTAGTATAGAGCCCTCAACAGTCACCATGGCTCTTTCTTTCCCTATACCCTATATCTCGTTTCTCTGAGAAATTATCTCATGCAGGACGCCGTCAATAGATACCACAAAGATGGTTATGATATTTTCTTCCTCAATAGGCTCCACTGCCACCACAGAATCTGTAGCAACAATGGCGAAAACCTCTATGACCTCAGGACTTTGACCCTGTTCTCCACTTTTTCTTTGATCAATGGGAACCTCAGAAGATAGAGAGGACGGATCAACAATTTTAGGGGTTTCTGGGATGGAGAGAAACGGGGAATATGGGTTAGGTGTGATTTCAGCGGTAAGAGCAGGAGTGGTTACAGAGGACTCAGTGGGGACGGAGGATTCCATGGGTTTTTCAGTATTAGAGACGACTGAGACAGGTATTTTGGAGTTGGTGTCATCCATTAAAGAGGTGGAGAGAAGGTGCTTTGGAGAAGTTCTAATGTAGGACTTATGGTTTGTGGAGAAAAGAGAAGGGTTTTAATAAGAGTGGATAATTATGAAGAGAGAGATATGAACTGGTTCTGAAACGGCGGTTGTGCTTGGAGAAGTGCAATGTTTCAGAGGGAGATGGAACGATTTGAAGAGAAGAGACGTGACATCAGGGTTTGAAAAGGTGGATAACATGACAGTTGATATTTGTACCTTTTCAAGACGTGTATTAAAGAATGCACAAAACTACTAACCTTTGGTACAAGAACCAGTTTCTTGACCTGTTATTTGAAAGTATCAATCCTCTTTTATCATCCATGAACTGCATCTACTGCTTCTATACTTATCATGCGTGTTTACCTGCAACAATATTGAAGTGAGTTAAATTTGGCCAGAAAACACTTTAGCTAGTTTTACCTGAAGGTGATTTTCATAGCCAATTGATGAGGAATCAGGTGCTCAATTGGGCTTCAAAAGCCCCAGTTTCACCTTGTTTCTTTCAAAATGTTCCCTACCCAATGCTTTGGTGAAGATATCTGCAATTTGTTCTTCTGTGTTGCAGAACTTCATGCAGATCAACCTTTTCTCCATATTTCCCCTCAGAAAATGATGTCTCATATCAATGTGCTTGGTTCTTTTTTGTTGAACTGGATTCTTAGCCATGTTAAGTGCACTGGTGTTATCACATAGAAGAGACACACACTTAGTAAACACTCCAAAATCCTCCAATTGCTGCTTTATCCATAGGAGCTAAGCACAGCAAGATGCTGCAGTTACATATTCTGCTTCAGCTGTTGAAAGAGCTACTGAGTTTTGCTTTCTTGTGCCCCAAGAGATGAGACATGATCCTAGAAAGTGATCCATTCCAGAAGTGCTTTTCCTGTCCATAAGATAACCTGCGTAGTCAGCATCAACATATCCAATGAAATTAAAACTGTCACCTGAGGGGTAATACAAGACTAGGTCATGTGTACCCTTAAGGTATCTCAAAATTCTTTTGGCAGCCTTTAAATGAGATTCTTTGGGACTTGATTAAAACCTTGCACATAGCCCCACACTGAACAAAATATCGGGTCTGCTGGAAGTGAGATAGAGAAGAGACCCAATAATGCCTCTATACATAGTTTGATTCACAGGAGATCCAGTTTCATCCATGTCCAATCGAGTAGCAATTGCAATGGGAGTGTATATCCCTTTTGATGCTTCTATATCAAACATCTTCAAGAGCTCCTTGATGTATTTCTGCTGACAAATGAATGTACCCTGTGTGGACTACTTCA